TTTAGTTTTCAACTTAAAAAATAATATACTATGTAGAGAAAGACAGGGGGAGTGAATTACCTGTAAAATAAAAATCATGTTTCCTTAAAAAAATATTTTCCTTGTTTTCATGAAAACCTGGTCACGTGATCAAAAGTATGAATATTTTTCAAGAAAAAGATTGTCAATCAAAAAACACAAAAGTAGGAAATTATGTGACAAAACACGTTTTTCGTGAAAATATTGACAATCAAACGCAATCTTATTTTAGACATTTTTTTTCACTCCCAAAATATTGACTTTTTTGTTCTCCGCGAGCACGAATACGCAAATACATCACCTAACACACACAAACATGTACTTAAAAATACATGAATGATCACCACACACGACCAGACACTCGCCAACCACAACCATACATTATTGATTGTGATTCTATAGTGTCGGTCCCAAGAATTTTGAAGTTTTAGACTATTCATTATTATGAGGTTCTTTAAGCCTAAAAATAATTAGATATTTAAACAAATAATATAGTATATTTTAAACGAAAACTTGGTACAATTCAAAAGATAGAGTAGCAAAAAAAAATATATATATATTAAAAAAATCGTCTTGACAACTCGAGAGACTAGGGTAACATAATATTTAGCAGAATTGTTCCCTTGATGAAAAAAATTATCAGACCGTAACTCTTTAAGTAATAGTATCCATGAATTATTTATTGGGAAACTCGAGTAAGGTAAAATTTAGCGATTTAACCAAATCAGTATTTATTGGAGGATCGAGAATTATCCTACCAATATTGGACTCATTTCAGAAACTCGTAATAAATGACACATTATGGGCTCGGGAAAAAACTGATTTGGATAAATCAGATTGTATTTATAACTCATAAAAGTAAAGTATTTAATGTGTAATAGTAGTTACTGAATTAAACCATATCACCTATTGGGATCATTTGGTAGCTCATAATTAATTACTAGGTGCAAGTAACGTGCAATGCACGTTTGCTTAGTTTATATTTAATATTTTTGTTTAATAATTAATTTGTTATTAATAAAGATGTAATTTTTTTTGGTTAATTAAGGGCGTGTCTGGGCGTGCTGTAAGGAGGAAGGAAAATTGATTATGTTACCTTTTTTTTTTAAACCTACAGCCCTACAGTGAGAGAATTGGTCCAAAATTGCGGCTCCCAACGACATGAATTGTGTTGCCAACGGCTTGATTTCTGCTGAAAAGCAGAAACAGACACCCTATAAATAATTAATGATGTAATGTTTATGTAATTGATAAATAATTAGATGTGTGATTTTGATATTGTGATGTAAGTTGGTGAGATTGAAGAAAATAAGTAAAAGTAGACAAATTTGGAGAAATGGCTAAATTGTAAGGGATCCAAAGTTCGGGGGCTAAAATGTAAATACTTAAAAGTTGTGCCGAATCTCACGATGAAGATTTGAGAGTGCTCGGAGTCAATTGGATAAAGGAAGATGTCAAGGGGATCAAATTTAGTCAAAAGATGATCACAAATCAATTTCCAACCGAAAAGTTATGCTCCGGTGTTTTAGTCTCATATTGAGACCTATTTTTGGCATAGGAAGTGATCGAATTGGAGAATGATGTCTGAATTAAAGTTGTAACCAGATGAGTCAGCTTTCCAACGCATTTTGAATCGCCTCAATCGAATATCAGAATACAAAATTATGATAAAAACACTGAAAGAAGGTGCAGCTGCCTGTTTAAAATAAGAAATTTCGTTACATAATCCCTTAAAACAACAAATTCCGTTAATTTTTCCGTTAAACCAACAAATTCCGTTAAATAGGCACTTTTTATATATAGAAAGATGTATATTAAACTAAAAAAAGTCGTTTTTAATAAGCTCTCCAACTAAATTAGAATCGATAAAAAAAAAAAAAATTGTAGTTCAATAAATTTTTAATTGATTCATCTTTTAGTTGGGCCATGTAGTTTCTTCCATTTTGAGGCCCCTTGGGACCCTAGACTATTGCCTAGTTGGTTTGGTCCTAGGACTGGCCTTGTTTCTACGTAGTCTCTAATTGCTTTTTCTAAGAATTTTGTAATTGTTTAACCACCATAGATGTTACAACGACCATTTACAAATTCTCTAACTTTTGACTTCTACGTAAAAGAGAACGAAACTCCAACTAGAGTTCCAGGCGTCGTTGCAATCGACACGACAACTTCTCTTTTGGTGACGTCCAAAATGGTGTCTATTCTAAAACCAACCATCTCCGGTGCCAACATCACCTCCTCTTCCTTTAACTTGATTGCAGATATGGGTTCACATCAAAAATCAGATTTGATATAGTTGAAATTTGTTTGAACAATTCTTGTTGTTTGTGTTGGAGTGAAGTTGATGGTGGTGATATCAGTACTTTTGGTTGTTATGATGTGTGAAATCTATGATTGTGGTGATAAGGTTAAGGGTGGTTGTTGATGGTAGGTGTGGTGTTGACGAGCAGTGGAAATGGTGGTGGTAACGACATTGATGGTGTAACATTGAATTACACATGTAGTTATGGTGGTGGCGGCAGCTGTACAGACAATGTAATATCGTTAGTTACAAGTCAGCAACAATGCTAGTGGTATAACAATGAATATTACAAGTGGTGATATTGATGATAATAGTAAAATAGTGTTTGTAACAAGTGGGGGGGGATAGGGACGGTGGTGATGTAACACTCAATGTTACAAGTTCATGGTGAAAATAACAAGAAAATGTGTGTATTAATATATTGTATGACATGCGATGACGATGATGAAAATATGTGATGATATGTAACGTTGCATTACATTTTGTACTACAGAATGTATTGTAAAATATTAAATAAATTCAGAATTTCAAAAAGGTTTAAAAGTAAGTTTAGGGGTACTTGTGAATTGTACCTGTTCATTTATTGTCGAAAAATTAACTGAAAAAATACAAATAAATAAACAGTTGAGTCTGGTGAATCCGAGTTTGATGGGCCCATACATTGTTGTATCTTCAGCCCAGGTTTGTTTCAGGTGCACAATAAACATGCTTTTGGGCCCCTGGGTCTCATCGATTCCTTATAGATCCATATCCAGGCCCAAGGTCAAGTGATATGCGCTCGAGATGATTCTTTTTGGGTTCATATTGAAGAGAAGCAGATTCCTTGGGCCCTCACTCCAAAGTAGTCACGCTACTTCCACCCGAGTTTCAACAGAGTCACTGTACTTCAATTTGTGTCTAGTTAGTATACTTTATTTTGTCTCAAATTGGATCGCTCTCAGTTGACTGACATCGCATGCGGCATGCTGATGTGACCACCAATTACCGGTATCCATCCTACGTGGAAGTTACCATGATGCCAACTCGACCCTTTGAATTTTGATGGAGGTTGAGTAGGTCGATACTTGTGCTAATAGTCTTAGTCCATGTTTAGCTAATATTTATAAATTGTTTATAAACGTACAAATCACTTTTTATCCGCACATGTTGTGATCTCACAAATACTATTCATTTATAGATAAAACTGTTTATAAATGATTTCCAAACAAAATATTTAGATTTTGTTTTCAAACCCCAATTCGCGAATATCATTTTTTACTCCTTGAACTTGTAAAGTATTTAATAATATGATTATAGTTTATAACCCGGAGAATGATTTTGAAGTGAATGTAATGATTTAATTGATAGAGATATGCTACACGTATTGGGCAAAAGTGCCATGTACGTTAACATTGTTTTTGGGACAGCCAATAATAGGGGGACAACTGTCTCCTTGTAAAGTCCATGTGAGTAATTCCTTGTACTCGGGGATTACTCTAATTGATAATTCAAATTGAAGTATGAGGATTCAATTTGAACAAATTAATGATCCAAATAACATAAATTAAAGTATAAGTGACCCAATTGAAATTGGCATAAAAGTTTAACCCCTTCTACAATGCAAGTCAAAAAAAATGTTATGTTCCAGTCAAAGAAACAAGTCCTTGAAGGGAAATAAATCAGGTTTATTATGGGTTCAAATAATTGTCCTGCCCGTGGCCCTAGGTTTTCTAGGCTTGGGGCACATTTATTGACTTCACTAGTTTTAAATAATAACAAAATATTTTTTTTTCTTAGTACGTAATCATAATTCGTATATTAGGATACTATGATAAGCACAACAACGAGAGATTCTCAAATAGAGAAAAAGAAAACATCCGTCTTGTGTATATTTACAAGCCTGTGTACAGTTTATCCTCTCTCTCTCTTTATCTTTCCCAAGTTGAATGCATGAAAACAATTGACGAAGACGAAAGATAAATAAAAGAAGTTGTATTAATTGTCTTTGATTGTACATAATTATGTACAGGCATCACTTTTCTCGTAGCATGTTCGGATAGCTAAGCATAAAACTGAAGCTCAATTTTAAGTAAATTTTTAGCTTTGAAAAAGAACTTGGACCATTTCTCGATTTCTTTGTGTCATCTAGAAAAAGGGTCGTGTTAATCTTTTCTTTATTGTTCCATTTATAAAATGATAGCGAAGGGGCGACTTCTGAATATTTTTTTTGTTTCTAAACATGTAGGATATGTTTTTACAAGTAGACAAATTTTTATATTTTGAAACTTAATGTTACACTACCAAGAAATGCAAAAAAAGCACGTCATCACTTATTTATCAATAAGTAAATTATTTAAGCTTAGCCAAATGTGCATTGGTTATGAGTTGGAAACCCGCCCCCCCTCCCATAAAAACCCAAAAAAAACACACACACAACCACCGCCCTGTCCTCCACCTTTCCCTCCATCACCATCACTACTATATATGTCACATCGTCTTAGACAATGGACTTTAGAATTTGTACTACTTTAGCCTTTCCACAATCCTAAATTTTAAGAGGAAAATATGGTTCCAACGTTCTCTCTTATTTTCCAGTAGTTTCCACCCTTCATTTTAGTTCTCACTGTTTCATTCAATTTAAATCGCCCTGAATCTCTTCAAAAAGTCACAAAAAAAGAACCTAGGTCATTCATAAGCTCGAGAGATGTTTTCTTCAACCGATAATCCCTTTGACTCGTGGTCGTTTACGTATGATCAAAACCCTATCTCCAGACAGGATGACACTCAGTGTTTCATAAAATTCTCTTCACCATTTCCAGACAACCATGAATTGCCTTTGAATCAAATATTTTCACAAAATCAGCCCATGGGAGGGGCTAATACTACAAATTACAGGGAAGGAACAGAAGGTAATAGTGAGCCCTGCAAGTCGAATGAAAATTCTGCTGACCAAGTTCATCATGAGGCTATTACACCAGCGAGGAAGAGAAATCTCGGTCCTACCCTTCGAAAGAGAACCGGTAAGAAGGATAGGCACAGCAAGATTTGCACGGCGCAAGGAATAAGAGACAGAAGAATGAGACTTTCAGTCCAGATTGCTAGAAAATTTTTTGATCTACAAGACATGTTAGGCTACGATAAAGCGAGCAAAACCATTGATTGGCTATTCGCTAAATCGAAGAAGGCAATCAAGGAGCTGACCAAAAACCATCCGGATCAAGAAAAGTTCAGTTCCAGCATTGATAATGTAAAGAGTGAGTCTTTTGTCTCAGAATGTGAAGTAGCATCAGTAATAGAGGAGAATTCCAACAATGAATTCAAAGGAGTTTCAGGAAAAAGTGTAAGTCCAGGTAATCCACATGAGAAAGATGGCAGAAACTATGATTACAAAGTAGTTCGAAAAGTAAAACCTAATACGAGGGAGTCCCGGGATAAGGCAAGAGCAAAGGCAAGAGAGAAAACGATGATCAAACACCTTGAGAATTTGAGCCAGTGGCAAAAATCAAACCCTAATGAATTTCAAGAATTAGGGTTTTCTAAGAGCCCTTTTGAAGCTTTTGAAGAATCAAGTTCCGGTGATCGGAAAAGGGATTCTCCACATTATGTTGATTTTCACTTATTTGGGAATCAATTAGATGATGATGACACAATTGAGAAACTCCTAGGGGCTACGACAAGGTTGAATTCTTGCCCTATTTCTGATTATCAGTGCTATGATGCAGCTATCTCAGGTTGCATAGATTCCAACAACAATTTCATGGGTTTTCTAGGAGATTTCGAAATGAACAATGATATGTTCAATTCCAATTACCCTGAATTGGAAAACATGGTTTCCTTTGCAGGTAATTCTACTACTTGCTTTACCTCAGATTTTTTATTTCAGCAATAAGCGCCTACGAGACTTGAAATTTGAGAATTTTAATTCTACTTTCTGTCTAATAACGGAGATCAATCAGCAATGATCATCTGTCATGTACTAGCGTTTTTGCAAAAAAATAAACTTTTTATATTAACCAAAAAATATCATGGATGGCTAGCTATAATCAAGTATGTATTTTGAATTTATAGCATTATTAATTTATGCGAGTTCTTTTCTCATTTTCTCAGAGAAGAGGGAGATTGTAAAACATGATCTATGGTTTTTTAATATTATCTCGACATTATTTCTTTTAAAAATTTGCATTTCTTTCTTGTTCAAAATAGAGCAACATACACTCCTTAGAAACTAAAACTCTCTGCATCTACAATGTTAACTAACATATTTTGGAAACGTGTTTATATTTGGTAGAACATCCTATATACGCGATAGTTTATATTGAAGAAGGACACTAGTTAACTAATATTTCGAGCACGGACATTGTTCCAACTCTTGATAATGAAGATCTATACATTCTTCTTTTTAAATTACTTGAACATTTTACATATCTGTGGAGAATTGAAACCTTTTCAGAATTTTTTGTATATCTACCCTAATACGTGTATGTTGGGGGTGCTAATCCTTGTCACAGTTGAAAGAAATATCAGTATATACTCGGATGGATCCACCCGACGTCCAAAAATGAACTATAAAATGATATTATACTAAATTAAACCAAAACTTTAATGCGGTGTCTTTTAAACAAACGACTTTTTTTTATCAATAGAAAATTAAAAATCAGAAAATCAAAGCGCTTGTTTCTCAGAATTCCTACACGGTGTGTGACATTTGTAGATTGCACATTTTTTAGCCAATGGATATGAAAAATTGTTTACTAGGTCAAGTTAATATTAATTAACTAGACATGCATAATGTTATATAGTAATAAATGTTGTCGAAGCTGACCAAATAATGTAATACCATATACAACTAACAGAGAAGAAAATGGCAGAAACATCTGATTGCAAGCTTACCATGTTTATTATGATTTACCTGACAGGACGCCACTAATAATTACTTACAAACAAATTAAATACTTTGTGGACATGGGATTAATGCAAGGGCTGCGATTTCAGATATTATTAAATATTTTTTCATAAAAGATATTTGGAAATCCTCTCTTGGAGGCTGAAGCAGACTCCATGGACCATAGTCATTTCTTTGTCTAGTGTAATACGGGTAATAGGTTGCAAGATTTATAGTCATTTACTATTACATTTAATACATAAATTTAAATCCAAAGACCGATGACACTTTTAACAGTCACGAAGCTATGAACTTTTCGAACTTTGGGTA